TGGCAACAAAATAAATCAACATTAAATTCTATTTTACATTGTTCAAAATGTTTTCCTTTCTTTACACTTCATATTCACAATGTAACTAATTCATCAAGTGCTTGTAAATTTCAAAATGAATAAATATTTTCTTGTTGAAGATGAATTGTTTTAATTTCCATAAGCGTCTGTATTAAATTCCCTATTTCCTACCCACTTTTTTATTCTAATTATATATATATATATATATATCAATGGTCAAAAACGTCAGGATTTAGTTTAAATATTGTACAATGATACTATTTAATTAATTCAATTAGTCATAATAGTTGAACAAAAACAAAAAAGAATTTGGAAAATTTATTCATAATTTTAACCCAATAAACAACATTAAATCAACTATGCTTTATTTTGTATAATAAAAAACAAAAACCAAAGAACTTGATGGCTGAATTACTATGACTTAATACACAAACATGAACATATATATATATATATATATATATATATATATATAAATAAAATTATGAAAATATTTCCTTAAAAAAATTTCTTATCCAGAAGAAAAATTAGGAAAAATCTTAAAATGACTAACATTCTTACATACATACAAAAAATTCTGTATATATAAAAATAATTGCCAAAATTCCAGAATGTTTCAGTACTTAAATAAATAAATATCTTCTATAAAAAAAATTAAGGAAATCAATAAATGTTATTTAGTTATTTTACAAAATTCATTCATAAACGTTTGATAAACTGACTTGAAACTTTTAATTTCTGTTTCCTTTTAATTTCATATCATAAACAAGATAAACCAAATTTTCGCATTCACAAAATTTTAGGAAAATACTGAATTCAGAGGTTTGCAATGATAGAAAAAAAATCAAAAAACTGTGCTTTCATCAAAAATCTCTGCTTCCGGAAAAACAGCATATTTTTTTTTTTTTAACGGTACTGTCTTTTCATAAAAAACTTTTTTTGATTTTTTACCCAATATATTTTTAACTAATAAATATAAAGTTTTATAATATATACTCGGATATCCCACATTATATACAACTTTTTTGTATCTATTTGCCATTGTGGGTATATCCTTCGTTTTTTTCTGAGAATTGATTTGAGCTTTTAATGTCTGGCTCAACCACTGCTCAGGGAAACAATTTAAATATGTAAAAGGTTCTTGTTCTTTTGAGAAGATCAATAGATTTAAATTCTATTCAGTGAAGGAAGACTAATTTTTTTAAAAATGAATCAACATGGCAGCTGTAAACTGATTTCTATCAATTTGATGCTTAAAAGAAACATCCTTTATTTCAATTGATCAAAATCAAATTTTTTTGGTATATCTCTGGCAGGTTATATAAAAAAACTCAAAGTTCTTTATAAACATATTTTTTTTAATCCTTTCACCCTGAGCAAGGTGATAAAGCCACTAAGATGCTATCGGTTATTGAAAGAATCTGTGTAAAAGAAAAAACAATAGAAGAACATGAATTAAGGAGTCAGAAGCTAACGATTGACAATGCATTTAAATTTTTGAAGATCAAACTTAATTAGAAAGCAAGAGGCTAGAAGAGAAACAAAAAAAAGATTTTAAATTTAACATTGAACTACGGTTGGTTACAAAATTTTGTAAAATGATTTATTCTGCCATCAGTCATTATAGTGTTATTAATAATTGTCGACTTTTTCCTTCAGTTCGTTAACCCTTTTAAATCTGAACTTTGGGTCTTCTCAAATGCAAAAAACTACTAGAAATGGAAAAAATCATGTCTTTATGGCCTGAAATGTATATTTTGGGTAAAAAATTTTCTTTCCTCAGGCTTCCAGTTTATTTTTTGAGGACTTAAAAAATTCTCTGAATGCTTTTTTAAAAGATTTGTTTCCCAAAAATCGGGAACCTTTTTGAAACCTTGTATAACAAAAAAAACGCAAATATATAATATTCAATTGAACTTTGTCCTTTTGTAACTTCATTTCAGAATAAAATTATTTATATATATATTTGTATAATATATTTTCGGTCTTTTGTTTTAAATTGTTTTTTTAAAAAAATAATTTTTATTTGAAATTTAATAGTCCAACTTTCTTGTGAATTTGGACCAGCTAGCAGGAAAATCTGAACCCAAATGTTTAAAAAAATACATCTCAACAACATTACAAAAACCCTCTTCATACTGTAAATTTGATCATGTATCTTTTTTGACATGACTTCTAATTTAATTCTTTTCCATGTCAATTTTTTACTGCCATTTCTTTTTGCAAATGCAAAGACAATTTAGTCCAAGTGACCTTATCTGAACCTGGTCTGTCCTGCTGTTTTGAAATTGCTTCAAAAATAGAATTCTGAGGATTCATACCTTTTTCAAGAGTTTTTAACTTAAAAGTAATGTATATTTTCCTGAATTTAACTGATGTTCATTTCTTCAATCGCTATCCATTACTCCACCTGTTCCTTTTTATAATTGGGAAAAAAATTGATTAAATTTTAATGTAAATAATGGTTTTCATTAAAAAAATAAATTAAAAAAATATTTTATTCTCCACATTTTTTCATTACTATGGTTCAAAAATCTGATATAACTTAGATTTTAGGTCATTACCAATAATATTGAAGATTCCAATTCTTGATTTTTTCAAGAATCTTCTTAATACATTAAAATTAGATCAATGTGGCAAACATCTTTTCAATATCAATTTTGTTTCTTTCTTCCATTCATAATTTCTTTTTAATTTCATCAAACAACTACATTTTCAATTGTCTATCCATAATGTATTTTCGCAAAAAAAATTTTCCTTATCCTTAAAACATCTTTTAAATGATTTTTGCAACCTGGCATCTGTGTCTTTTCAATTTGGATCAGTATTTTGGTTGTAACTTTCAATTGTTGCCTACATTTTCATTGTTTATAGTGTCTGTTTGTTGTTCAAAGATTCAATGAAAGCAAATCATCCTCCAACTCAGACAAATAACAATTGGATTTTGTTTAATTTGATGAATTAATTTCAAAAGATCTTGAAAAATATTCCATTTTTCAGTTTTTTTTTTGGCAAACATTTTTCCGCAATTTTTTTATAATTGTATATGAATATATTCTAATGGTAGTCAATAGAATATTCAGGTTTATTTTAAAGATTTTTCAGTAACTTTTTCACAAATTTCCAAAATGCTTTGTCAGAGACCAAAACGGCTTGAAGTCTGTCATGACGATAAACAATCCTTTCATGAATTACAGAATTCACTACTTTAATATTTTTTGCTAAACATAATACTACTGTCGAACATTATTGGAAATAATGTATTAGAAATATATTTATTCTGTATTGTATGATACTTTTTTTCTCCAGTAAAAATCATATTAAATGGGATTTATTTCTATTAAATCAATTTTTTTCTATTTTTCTATCCATATTTAGTTATTATGCATCTGTGTACAGTTAATTATAATCTTTCATGTTTATACATTAGTTAGAAATACAATAAATTAAAAATTTGTGTGTATGAATATTTGTAAACCACTATATACACAGGGTGTCCATAAAGTTTGTGTTCTGTTTAATAATTTATAAATTTATTTGTATTTGTGATAGAAATAATTTGTAAAAAGGATTAGAAAGAAGTAAATCTATATTTTTTGAGGTTTTATTGAAATTTTATTTAAGTTTCCACATGTCCTCCACCATTAACAATAAAAAGGGTAACACGATTTTGCAGTTAATGGAAAACATTTGCCAACTGATTTACAGTAATGCTTGAAACCACATTAGTTATTTTAGCTATACTTAAAACTAGGTACATTAAACTTTATAACATTTTTTACAGATTATTTCTATCGCAAATAAAAATAAAGTTATAAATTTTTTAAAGTGCACACGAACTTTAAGAACACCCTGTGTATGTATATATTTCTTGAGCGCTTAGCCTTGGAACAGGTAGAATGGAGATCAACGTGTTTTAGAGGACTCAGCAATTTTCAATCTGCTTGTCTGAATCATCTTCAAGAAGCGAGAGCAAGATCTAAAAGGTCAGCCAATCTAACAGTGATCTCATCTCACAATCCTCACACTTGCTCCATATGTGATCTCCATTGTAAATCACTAGCAGGTCTTAAATGCCACTTAAGATTATCGCACAAAATTTCATAACTGAATCAATAAGCTGTTAGATCCTCATATGTCAAAACCAACAGGAGAGTCCATTATTATTATTATTATTATTATTATTATATATATATATATATATATATATATATATATATATATTTGTATAATCATTTCATCACAAGCAAGGCAATAAAGCCACCAAGACACAAGTGTTTACTGAGCAGGACAGAATAAAAGGAGATAAACATTAAGGAGAGAGGTAAATAAATAAAAAGACAGGAATTAAGAAGAATGAATGTAACAATTGAGATTGCATTTAAATTTTTGAAGATCAAAAGCTGACTGGAAAGCTAGAAGCCAGTAGAGAGTTCCACATGTGAGAAGTGCCAGAGAAGAAACTGTTAGCATAGAACTTACGGTTACATCTAGCCATTTCAACTGTAAAATAATGAGACCTTTCTTCACTTAAATTCTTAAAGTCTAGCTATCATAAAGGAAAGTTCATCAGAACAATTACCATGGAAATATCTAACAATCAAATTTCAAATTATATTTCTTTCAAAACTGACTGCCAAATACATTTGTGCAGATGTCTTGTCACTCAATTCAAATAAAGTTCTATTAGTAATTTCTTGAAGTTAAATAAAAACTAAGTTGAAGACAAAAGACAAAAAACAGACTTTTAAGAATTTGTTATGCATGAATGGTTGTTGGTGTCTGTTTCTATTTCTAAAGAACATGAAAACCACTTAGTGGAAATTGCATGCTTCTTTGGTCGAAAATTCTCACTAACAACAAGAATGTAAGTGTTTCATTATCAATACGAATGAACAATGATAAGACTGATCAGAATTAGAAAGAAAAAGTGAGGGCTGAGGAAATATATATATATATATATATATATATATATATACTTACCTATCTTTGAGAGAGAGAAAAAGATAGAGAAAGTAAAAGATAAAGAGACAGACAGACAGACAGAGAAAGAAAAGATAGAGAAAGAGACAGAAAGAAAAAAGAGAGAGACAGAAAAAACAGACAGAAAAAACAAAGAGACAGAAAAAACAAAGAGTGAGAGAAAAAAAAAGAGTGAGAGAGAAATAAACAGAGAGAGAGAAAAACAAATAGAGAAAGAGAGAAAAGCAAAGAGAAAAACAAAGAGAGAAAGAAAAATGGGCAGAGAGAGGAACAGAGAAACGCAGAGAGAGGGAGAGAGAGGAACAGAGAAATGCAGAGAGGGAGAGAGAGAGAGGAACAGAGAAACGTTGAGAGAGAGAGAAGAACAGACAAATGTTGAGAGAGACAGAGAGAGAAGAACAGACAAACGTTGAGAGAGAGTGAGAGGAACAGACAAACGTAGAGTGAGAAGAAACAAACAATCGGAGAGAGAGAGAGAGAGGAACAGAAAAACGTAGATCTTTTTTTTTTTTAAACGTTTTGAGAGGAAACAAAATTTTAGAGAAAGAGAGGAGGGAAAGGAGAGAGAGAGAGAGGAAGAGAAAAACGTAAAGAAAGAGAGAAAGGAAGAGAAACATGCAGAGAGAGAGAGAGAGAAAGGAAGAGAAACATGCAGAGAGAGAGAGAGAAAGGAAGAGAAACATGCAGAGAGAGAGAGAAAGGAAGAGAAACATGCAGAGAGAGAGAGAGAAAGGAAGAGAAAAATGCAGAGAGAGAGAGAGAAAGGAAGAGAAAAATGTAGAGAGAGAGAGAGAAAGGAAGAGAAAAATGCAGAGATAGAGAGAGAGAAAGGAAGAGAAAAACACAGAGAGAGTGAGTTGAACAGAGAAACGTAGAGTGAGAGAGGAAGAAACAGTAGTAGAGGGAAAGTGGGAGAAACAGAAAAACGTAGAGAGAAAGAGGGAGAAACAAAAAATGTACAGAGAGAGAGAGAGAGGGAGACAGAGAAAAACATACAGAGAGAGTAAGGAGCAGAAAAACAGCCAGAGAGAAAGAAAAAGAGAGGAACAGAGAAAAGCACAAAAAAAGAATAACAGAGATAGGGAGAAACAGATAGGGGGGGTCTATTAAGAAATATCTAGAAATCTAAGATTGTGATATACAGAAACAGAATGAGAAAGGTAAGTACATAGAAAGATATCACAATTTGATTTCTGCTTCTATATAAAACAAAGTAATCTTCCCTGTATTTTCTTGTCCAGACTTAACATCTTGCACATTTTGGTGTGAAAGCAGTCAAGGAAAGAGACTTTTGAGAACATTTTGCATGGAAATGTTGAAAGTCTAAGTTCTATTTCAAGAATGAATGGTTACTGTGCCGAGATGAATGACAAATAAGTTATAACTGTCCAGTCTAAACTGATCTTGTGTGTGTCTGTATGAATGTAGTGAAATTGCTCTTGGAAACACATGATGATACACTGATAATAGCAATTATCTTTTAGAAAGGAATTCACATTTTTCTGTCTGAATTTTCGGATGAGGAGCTATCATTATTTATGATTTGTATTCAGACAATTGTCTTCATCTTTGTTGTTGTTATCACAACATTCAGCTATTGTACCTGAGATTTACCTTAACCCCCCCACCACCAACTGAGTCAAGTTATGACACAAGGTCAGTTTTTAACATGAGCACCTGAGTGTTTCCACTTGGCTGCTGGTCTTAGTTTGTCAAAGCTTGTCTAAGCTATTCATAGCCTGTCTTACCACCACTATGTAACACATTATATGCAATGAGGTTGGGGAGAATGCAAGGGAGGAGATAAGACCTTCAGAATGGAACAGATACATCTGCAGCATCCATTCCGAATGGAACTCCCCAATTCTCATCCTCTTCCAATTCCTTCGGAAGAATCCAGAGGGAGAGCTCCTATTCAGCTGTTGTTCCTTCCAGTTTTCATCAGGTGTATATTGATCAAGGTAACCTACAAGGAATTCCAAACTAAACCCCTTCTTTAATCAATGGGGGTTGACTGTTCTAATTCCACTATGTCTAGAGATATCTCATCAAATTCTTATTTTTAGTACCGTTCAGTTATAACTCACCCTCTTTCTATTGAGTCCAAGTCCATACTGCCCAGCCCAGGAATTGAAATTCCTGATCATTTACCCATATACACCTGATGAAGGCTGGAGGGCACAATAATTGAAACATTGTGATAATAACAATAAAGTTGAGGACAATAGTACAAATGTAAATACTGCAAACAAGAAATTCTCATAGTGGAACATGGTATATCCAGCTATATAATATTTACAAGTGTTTTTTTTTTCCCAGTTAAGCAATATAGTGGATGGTCAAAAACTAATTGATAACTAACAACAACTTTGCTGAAATAAAAATATAATTCATCAGATATTTTTTGACTAACATCATCATCTTTGTTGTTTTTCATTTTTGTCTTATGAAGTCATCTATATAATACATGTGAATGTCAGTGTGTCACACTTTTTCAGCTTAAATGGACACAACTCTAACTTTCAGTAGCTCATTTCAAATTAAAAAATTAGTTCTCAAATTACAGTGTTTCAAAATAATATTGTCCATGTTTTCAACTTTACTCCTATAGTCTGTAGCCTAATATAATAATTGAAATTAATTGTGAAATCCAGGTAAATGAAATAATTGTTTGTATGGAAACCCCATGAAATAAAAATAATTGTTTGTATGAAAAGTAAGGATCTACATACATCAAACTGTCTTTAAATTAAGAGGTGGCAGAAGAATTATCATTGAACTTTCAAAAGGTTAGTTTAAATATTAATGCAATACTTAAATTCAGTGATCAATTTTGAGTTCTTTTGTAGTTTATAGTTGCCTATCACATCTACTCCTCTCTACCTATTGTGATGAAGGCACAATTAAGAGCCCTGTGCAGGGGCTAACTTAAATGAGACCTAATAGAGTGGCTTTTAATCTAGTTTATAATAAAACTAGTCTTTAATAGCCAACACATTTACACAAACAAGGCCAGAGAAAAAAATTTTATACTAAAATTCATTCAGTATAAGACTTGATAACCACTCAAGATAGATGGTTACTGTTTAAATGGTTGTGATGAAATAAATTTGATCTGAGTGAAAATAAAGAGGTGGTAGGGAGTGAGGAAAAGTGTTGTAATGGAATGTCTCCCACTCCTTATTGCCTATGTGGACTGACTATATCAGTAGATATATATAGTGTGCACAAGATATACCTGGCGACTTGCTTTGGGAATTACTAGCTTGCTATTTAATTCCCTATCTGTCAGTAGTGTATTCTCTTTTACAATAAACCTCTCTTCTACCTATGCCCATGTTGCTGCTCCTTTCTGTTGAGTACCACCTTTTTCTGTTTGTAACCTTCTTTAAGAATACAACAATAAGGAGGATAGATAATAGTTGACACTTGACTTGAAGATGTTAAGATTGCTATATTGAAAGAAACATCCATGTATCATTTATTGGGGAAAAATCCATCTGAGTGGAAATTTCTTCTTGCATTTAGAATATAGAGGAAATGAGGATGATTCAACTCCATGGATGTAGAAGTAGCACTGCATGTCTGAGCTGTAAATGTCTGAAGTGGAGAACCACAGAATGGAGCTCTTCTGAGCTGAAAAAAGGGATATTGTACTTATAGTAATGATAGTAGCAATTGTAAAGATGGTAATGATAGTAGCGATTGTAAAGATGATAAAGTAATGATGGTAATGATGCATCAGTGGGAAATAAGTTGAAGAGGGGGAGAATAAATTTTCCCACAAAAGACTGCATAAATGATTTCGAACCCTATCGAGGCTGGAAAGTAAGAATTAAGCAACTCCAGCCCATGTATAGGGGAGGGATAATTCATTTTTGAGGTAATAATATTCTTGTAACGTTGAAGCATGGTAGGGGGAGAAAATGGCAGGCTAAAAATAACAAAGACAAGGATAATATTCTGGAAACATTAAAAGTGGCGTGCAAATTCTAATGCCTCCAAAACAAAACAATTTTCATTTAATTACTACTGAGAAGTTTTTCTTATTACCATCAGCATTACTGATGCTAAACTCCTGGTAAGCAACACTTTGTACCTTCTTGGTCTCATGTTTTCCACTGACATGAAGTGGAGTGACTATTGAATCAAGTGCTACATCAATTGCTAGGAGAGTTGGTTCACTATGTTGTGCCAGAAAAAATTTCTCATCAGAGTCCACCTTGCACATTTATAATTCTACCATTCATATATTCATTGAATACTGCTGCCATATCAGGTCTGATGCTTCTGCTGTACATCCCAAGATTCTTGACAAAATTCAAAGAAGGGTCTTTAATTTAATCAATCCTGATTTGGTATCTCAACTTCAGTCACTTCCTGATCAATGTAACGTGGCTTCCTTCTGTCTTTTCTACAAATATTTCCATGGCAACTGTTCCAATGAGATTTTTTCCTTGGTGCCATTTCTGCATATATTTAAGTGTGCTACTTGATTGGCAATTAGGTCTCACCATTTTATGGTTGCACTAGCTAGATGCAACTGCCTGCTCTATTATAATAATTTATTTTCAAACTGTTCTCACCTGTGGAACTCTAAATTTCTTGCTTTCCTGCCACTTATGATTTTCAAAAAATCAGTTGCCATCTTCTGTCTTTCTAAACCTTATTCCTTTATTGTCCTCTCCTCATTTCTCCTCCCTAAAGTCTTCTCTTTCACTCCCTGTAACCCCACCCGCATCTTGGTGGCATTATATCATCTTGCTTAAGGTGAAAAGATTTAAAAACAGATAATTGTTATACTTGAAAAACTATCTTAGAATCCTTAAGAACACATGGCACAGTGGATAAAGGTGCCTTAAGGATACATGGCACAGTGGATAAAGGCATTAGTTAGACCCAGTGACAGGACCCAAAGAGTTGTGAATTCAATCTCTGGTTAAGGCAGTGGAGAAAACTTGGAGAGGGGAATTAACAGGAGATAACAGATAACTGACATCCATTAGGCATGGCATGTGGAACTAGAACAGTCTACCCATCAACATTCAACATTCCAACCACCTGAAAAAGGCCAGAATGTACAACAGCCAAAACATTGTGATAAATATGGCAACAAAAATGAGGATGATATGGTGAATAAAGTAAATAATGAGATAATTTGTCTTCACTTTAGAAGGGGAAAAAAATCCACTACCCAACTCTTGGTTAAAATAAAAAGACTGTCTGAGCTCTATATTCTTAATTAGAGAAAAGTCTAAGAAAAGGACAACTCTGGATTCAAAGCTGGAGAGTTGAGTATGAGTGAAACGACAACACCCTGTAAAATGTCTTTCTTATTATAGAAACTGCAGCTGCATCACTTGGTGTAACTGTGGTGCAGCCTAAGTTTCACAAAAAGTCTATAGGAACAGACAATGTAAAAGTTTTGTGTGCATTAAGTCAAAAATAGAAAAATTCTATATTTTTGGACATTAACTTATTGAACAAATTTATCCAAACCCTCTTCTGATGTGTTACAGGCCATTTTATATACTGAAATCTTTGCCAAAGTTCTTATCTTTCTCAAAAAAAAAAAAAAACAGAGAACTATTCTTAGCACCTTTTACAATCTTCCAAGGAAAGAGTGTAATATGGATTAATTTGAAACAACAATATCTGCTGAATATATTAGCTTGGTCACCAAAAGCATCTATTGTACATGCTTCATGTCATAATCTTTTAATTATTTCCAGTTTATTTTTTTTTTTTTTATTAATCTTTCTGTTGGTCTAAATGGAGAGAAGTACTTATTCAGGTCAGTCATCTAGTTTTTAAGAAAAACCTACAGTTAAAAACTCACTTTAAATCCCATTATATACACAGTAGGTAACCATATTTGGGAAGGATTTTCGAATAATCCAGAACCTATACTGGCAGCAAACTAAATGTATATGAATAAAAAATGAGTTCAGTAAATATACAAAAAGGTGTGAAAGACAAGGAGGTTTCTTCTCACCAGACTTATTCAACCTATAAAGTGAGGTTATTGTGAGAGAATTAGAAGTCTTACCAAGATTCATTTTTGACAGCCACAATCTTAACAATGTAAGATGACAGAACTCCTACAAAAAGGTAGTGAAGGAAAGCAAGAATAAAGGATTAAACATTAAATGCAAGAAGATGAAATGAATGGTTATTAGTAAAAAAAAAAAAAAAAAGAAAAAAAAGAAAAAAAAAGAAAAAAAGAAAAAAAAAGAAAAACAGCCCAACATGCAAATTAAAACTTGGAGATAACAAAATCAAACAAGTACAACAATTAAATATTCAGGAAATGGTTTTAATGGAGGACAGAAAGTGCAACACTGAAATCCGAAGGCTCGTTGGGATAGCGAAAGATGCCTTCCAAAAGCAAAACAAAGTATTAAGAAACAGAAAAATTTTGATAGAAATAAAGAAAAGAGTACTGAACTGTTATGTAATATCAGTCCTCCTATATGACAGTGAATGTTGGACAATTCCCACACAGATGAAGATGTGACTTGAAACCAAAGAATTGCAATTCTCAGAAGGATGCTGAGAATATCACACGACCCAAACCTGTGAGCAACAACAAAGTCTTAGAGAAAATGGAAACAAAAAGGATACATACTTAAAATCAGGAAAAGTTGTTGAAATCTCTAGGGCACATAATGAGAAAAGAGGACTTGAAAAATATGATACTCCCAGGACAGATTGAAGGTAAGAGGGACAGAAGAAAACAACACAGTGAGCTTGAGTAAATTGATAGTACAGCAAGGTTTAGGAGAGTTAAAAAAGGACAAAATTTATTAAGAGCTACAAAGGAAAGGAAATTGGAGAGAGCCATGATCACCTACATTCTGAAGAGACTCAGTATATAGAAGATCACCATTGAAGAGCAATACTCAATATAAATACATTTTTCTAAATATGTTAAGGCCATGGCACCAACAAACATTGACATACGTATATCTAGGGTTGCTGTAAAAGTTCCAGTGATCATTTAGCACAATATGAGAGGAATATTAGAAGTGTGTATCAAGTTTACTCAACAGTAGTATATCATTGACAAGCCTTAAGGATAATTTAGAAGTTAAGAGAATCAGTTCCACATGACTTAGCTTCTTGGCAAATGGAATAGCAAAAAAAAAAAAGAAGTCAATTTTGGTCGAATAGACACATGACAGATTTACTTTCAGAATCTAAGATGAAGAAAAATCATGGCTAAAATCAGAAGAGTATTCAGAATCTCAACAAAAACTATTGTAAAAATATATTGTGTTCAGTACAATTCAATTGGACTTTTTAATTGCAAATTAATAAAAATTGAAGCAACTGGCATGTTGTGGCAAACACACATCTCTAAAGACGCAAAAGAGGTCCCAGATCGCATCCAGACATGCGAAAAAACCTAAACCTCAACAAATTACACATAAACTT